GAAAAATGATTGTGAAAGTGAAGAATAGAGATGGAGGAGGAGGAGGAGGAGGGCGAAGCAGAAATAGGAAATATTGATCCTTTTTTGTAGAGTTTAAGAAGAAAGATTTGTTGGTGTATTTAAAAGCCTCGACTACCCAACACAAGAAAAGGAGGACCAGGCCATTAATGACAACAAACCACCCCATAAAGACACGATACTCTCTCTCTCTCTCTCTCTCTCTCTAAAATGCATGCAATGTATACAAAGGAATAGTCACCATAACTATACACCTCTCTTTCTCAGTAACTGTGTACAGTATATTAATTCCCATAAGTGGAATCTCATCTGAATAATTCAGTTTGCTTTGTCCATGTTTGACCATTCATCCAGTTACACCCTCTGCTCTGATCAACACATAAATGCAATGCCATTTTCCATTGTCTACGAGTAAGTAGTTCCTTTTATCAATATCTGATGAACTCAATAACTTTTTTTTTGAAAAAATACTATTATATTAATCAAGTTTATATAGAAATAGGGACATAGGAATAAAATCACTTGCATAGTCTTCCAACTTAAAACAATTAATTAGGAACCAATAATACAAGTGTACGTCTAACTTATTTACGGCTTTCACAAATTTTTTCTCTTTAAATTTGAGATTTTTCTCCTTCAATTGGTCACATGACCCATAAGTGCAAACACATTTTTGGCCTCATAACCCAATTAGAATGTGCTGGGAATTATTTATACCCAACTATGTGGAATTAACACGATAAAAGGTAACAAGTCACAATTTGTTATTTTTAAAAGATTATTAAGCTACTTAATCCAATTAATTCTATATTTAAACAATAACATAAACATATAGATCAAAAGCAAAAAATAACACCAGATATGATATGATTATGGAGGAAAACCCCTTCATTGGATTAATAACCTCCTGACAAATAAAACTCACTAGAAAAATTAATTTATAGTTAGCCTAGACACCACTAAACTTTAGCTGACTCTGACCAACTAACTTATAAATCACCAAAGAATTCCGTTGGTTGTCCAACCCGCACTTCCTAACAACTCTGGCTACTTTTCTCTCTGCATAGATTACGAAAAACTACTTGTTCCAGAGCCCGGGAACTAGTGCTATCAATGAATTGGATTTTGATTCGAATCCGATTTGAATCCAATGAAATTAATGGGTGATGGATTTAAGGTCTCAATCCGATAACTCAATCAAGATCTGAATATTAAATCTGTTAACTAAATAGAGCAAATATGGATATAGATCAATCGATCTGATAACAACCCGATTCGATTTGTTATAAATAGTTGAGTTGGTTAAATATTTTTAGGTCATGTTATTTGTTACTAAAATAAATAAATGGAAAAATAAAAAAATTTAGAATAAAAAAAATATCAAATTCAAAACAAACAAAAAATAAGAAAGTCTATCCACTTGTACACCATCAATTATTTGTATGGGGGTTTTCTTTTGCTTTTCAAAAAGTCATAAGCTATCCCACATCGATTTCCATCAAAAAAATAAAAAAAAAACGAAAAGAATAAGTTATAAATAGGTGATGGGCCCTTGCTTGGATTTTTCACTATTTGGGCCTTATTATTTTAAACATGGGCCTAAATAATAAGTTAATTTCAACATTGATTTTATCTTCCTAATTTCTTCAATTTTGGATTGGATTAATGGATTGGATATCCATAACATAGCAAATTGAATATGAATTTAACAATTAAATATCCGTTGGATTATCGGATCGGATCCAAGAATTATTCTTATCGAATCGGATCAGATATGGGCAGATCTGGTACATATCCGATTCATTTATAGTCCTAGCTGGAACTCCTAGTGCATCTTCTCCTACTTCAAAACTCTAAAGGCTGGTGAAGGTAGGTTTTTGTTTGATGTTTGATTAATGATCTTTTGTGTTTTGATCTGTGGCTGAAGCAAGATATATATATTTATATATTTGATCTCAAAGTGTATTCTCTTGAATAAATATAAGATTCGATCAATTATAATATTTGGGATGAATTTAAGAATCAAAGATTTTGATATTGAATCAAGGAATCAATAGGATGTATTTTAGATCTTCAAAAAAATAATATATAATGTAAAATAATGATTCAACCAGCCTTAAGGACGATCTAGGCTTTGATATATATAATATAAAGTGTTCGAGATTGAATAGGATTAGAAAATCGGCAAAAATACCAACCCAGGGTTTCCCGGATAACACCACTGCTTGAGTGCCTTTTAGGCGGCCAAAAAAGCTTCTATAAGGAGTCGTCAGTAGTTTTATCACAATTTTCTCTCCCGATATTGAATTGAGCTGATTCAAAATGTGTTGTAGAACTAACTCAAAGTGATACAATTCTTATAGAAATAGCATTTCTAGTTTGACTGTTTTCTATGTGAAAAATGTATAACAACTTGTGACTGAGAATTTGGAGCATGACTTGTGCGACACTTAGACACTTTATAAACTTCTAATTCCATCTCGTTGATTATATGTGATTTTCTTGGACATTTTTGAGCTCTTTAACTCCTTCAAAACTTATACTACCAACCCTCAACTCTCTAACTCTATTTAAAACTCAAATAATTTTGATTTCGTATAAGGAATAACCAATTACAAATAAAGACCTAATAGAATGGTTTGACTTAAGGATACCACCATCATCAAAAAGTATGATTTTATTTTATTTATCGATAAATAGGAATTTGTATTGATCAAAACTAATATACAAGTACCCTGGGCAACTAGTAATTTTTTAGAATTCTAAAGAAAATTCCCACAAAACCATACAATTCTCAAAGTTACGATGGCTAAAATTAGGAAAATAGATAACCAAAAGCACTCTAGTCCTTGCAAGAACCCAAGAATGTCAATTAAACCCGATTTTGGATTTGACCCAACAAAATGAACCAAAAAACCCAACGATAACGAAGATGCGTTGAACCCCTTGATTACACAATGAAAAACCCACAATCAATTGTTTGAACACCACAAGATTTTAATCTTGATAAGTTCGATTTTTTATTCAATTGAAGAACAAGGAAAAGCAAGCCTCTCAATTAATTAATTTGTCAAAAGTTTTAATACAATAAAAGTTTTTGGTATTTATATCAAACCTTAGAAACTAAGTAAAAACATGCATAATCTCATAAATAAGGCAAGACATTGACTAAACATAGAATTCTAACAATTATGAAAAATTCGCGAAAAAATAAATTTTCTACCAAAATTAACCCTATGCGATCGCATAGGCTTATCTTATACGGTCGCATAGGCCAAACCTTCAGGCCTCCTTTGGTTTCGATTAATATGCATGTGATCACATGCATGGTTACACTATGCGGTTGCATAGTGGAACTTTTGGCCTCCATCTTCAGCTGCTTGCATCAAGTTCATCAATCTCAATTCCGGCCTCAACCCCAACATGGAACTTGCTCCATTCTTCGTCGCGATGGCCATATCGCCAATCGTAGCTTGAACAAGAAATGTCATCTCTTTTTGCACTCGTTTTGCCCTCGATCGAGTCATCAGTCCTTCGTCAACTATCAATGGATCTTTCCCCAGACTTGTCATCATTCCAACGGCACCTTGGATCATATCAATTCTCCAAACAAAAATGGAGCAATTAGTAAAGATGGTCATATTAAAAAGCATATACTCTTGATGAGTATTTAGACATAACAAATTATAAAACTCCAAAAAAGGTTCATATACCTGATATATTGAAAATTGAGATATATATTTTACGACGTTATACAAAAAAATAGAATCGAAAAATAAAAAATTGTCGATAACACTTTTGCACATGATGTATTGTATCATCTAGCAAGGAATCGAAATAAATGCGTTGAAATATATCGATTGATGTAATGTATGGTCAAATAAAAGGGACGCAATCCTAAATTGAATTTATTAGAAAATCTTGAAGTTTATGGATCCGCAGTTCGAAAATCTAAAGGTTCATTATACTTATGTTAAAAAGGAAAATAGAAAAATGAGGTCGTAATATGCAATACACAACTCTCAACATAGTGAATTTCACAAAGATCGTGGTTGATAAAATCACAAGTCCATATCATGTTATCTTGACGATGCACGAAATTTGAACATTATCATCAACTTATGTAGCATGATTATTAATGTTATCCTTGAAAGATTTAATATGCTTAAAGCATATAATTCAGGTAATTTTATCATAACGGGTGAATACGCGTTGTGCTCTTTTTTCCTTCATCAAGATTTTGTCACACTCGATTTTTTTGGCAAAGTTTTTAATTTGACAATTTTTGTAGTATAATTAAAAGAATAACGAACTTTTTTTTTCCTTCGTTAGAATTTTTCCCACGGGGTTTTCCCTAATAAGGTTTTCGTGAGTCAGATTTTTTGTGCAATTAATGTCCATAACCTAAAAGGCATTTACCACCCAAAATAATACTTTGATATGTATGAAACTCATAAAGAGATCAACAAGAGCTATTCTTTGAATCATCATGTTAATGCAGTATTAAGTTTTGTCCAACTGGGTTTCCTTGAAGGCATTGATGTACAAAACATCAATATTGAAGATATTGACATACAAAACATTGATCGATTTATACAATAATTGAAATAAGGTAGAGAAATGTACTCCTTTTACTTAGCTCAAGTGTCATGTTGGATTTCCTTTACAACTTTTTAACCAATCAAATATTTTATAATGTGTCATTCAGGAAAATTTGTAAATTGTAAGTTTGTATCTTTAATCATTCCTTATAAATATGAAAATTTGATCCTCACACTCTATTTCTCTTCTTTTAACCTGTTTGATTCATGTTCTTCCAAAATTCATTTTAAATCACACATTTTTTAATAAAATAATATTTTTCATTGTATATACCATTTGTTTTTGCTATGCACAAAATTCGCCATTCTCATGTTAACAATTAATTATTTTAGACAAAAATAAACAATAAAAATCAAGCACTTTCACCGCCTTGCAAACACATGGACGTATCTTCCAATAGTACGACGGCGGACGCCGCCACCGCAGCGAACACCGGCCCAGAGTACAACACCAGCTTAGTCAAGAAAGCTAAATTACAGTCCACACTGGCGGCTCTCCTCAATGATCCCATACTTTCCGATGTAACGAAGAACCCTACGCTGTCTGACGTGGACACTCTAATCAACTTGGAACTCGGTAGCGCCATGCGCATCTGCGTCTTGAAAATGGATGGCACCTCTGTAGGTACTCGAATTTTTCCCAACTAGGCATTTTCACAAACAGTTTACGAGTATGTGTGTAACTGATGTTAGTGTCGATTTAAATTCCATTTCTTCGTTGTTTTTTATTTGAAGATGTGGCGGTGATGAATTCTGCATCCGTGAAGGATTTGAAATTAGCAATCAAGAAAAAAGTGAATGATATGGAGGAAACAAGGATGGGCCATCGCCAAATTTCTTGGTATGCCACAGTTATATTCGACTTCCCTGTAACACTTCTCATCTCATTCGTATTTGGGATCCGATAAAGAGCCGTAATATTTTGGTCTATAAATACTTGTATACTTTAGTCATTAAGAAAGTATTCTTGAAACTCTATTGCTTCTTGAATGCTGGTTAATATTGAAGGGCTTATGATCCTAACTTGAAAGGAAGGATGCCATAGGTAGTTTTTTTCATGTTCTGGGCATAGATTTAAAGAGGTTTATGTTTATAAAATGGTGGATCTCGGTAGAACCAGCGAGACGATGGAAGGGTAAAACAAAACTGACATTACATATTGAAGTTGCTACAGAGCTAATTGCTCTGAATCTTCGAGTAGGTCTAGCAATGAACTGAATGGAGTGGAGAAAAATTACTCCAAATTAAGGTTTAGTTTGTTGTAGTTATTTGTTGGGAACTGTGAAATTCACATATATGATTATTAACACTCATGGTTTGCAGGAAGCATGTATGGGCTAATTTTTGCCTTTCATACCACAACGTAAAGCTACTTGACGACAACTCTGCACTTCAGGCTTATGGCATTCGGAATAATTCTCAGGTATTTCAGCTCTAAGCTTTCAGAAGTTGTGAATGGTCTGTTTTTGCCTGCCGAAAATTTCTGCCTTCACCATTTTTATTAATGTGGGTTGTGCAATAGATGACACTGCTGTTAAAAGTTATCAAATTAATACTTTCCTGCAGTGATGCTCTCTCGACGAATAATCACTGGTAGAACTTTCTGTGTGTCTTTGTTGTTCAACTCCATGATCTTTTCTCAGTTTGATGGTTACACTGAAGGTGTTTTAAGACTATGGAAAAGCTGGTATTTCAGCTAAATTAAACGCCTTCTCTAACCTTTATCCCTTTTGCACTTTATCTCCATGCTTTGTATCTTGACATTGCAACTCTGAACCTTCCAGTTTTATGCCCATTGGCATTTAGTCTCTACTCTTTCATCTTACTCTTCACCTTTCTGCGAATTCTTTTCCATTTACATTTCTACGAAGATCAGGTTTCATATTTGGGTGAGTGATTTTTATTTATTATTTATTTTTTTGTTACTTTTCAGGTGCATTTTATTCCCTATGTTGTTTCAAGGGCTTCTCAACGGCATTCTAGAGGGAAAAAACACCGTTTCTTTCACGGTCTAAACAAAAAGGCTTGAGCAAGATAAAAAGTGTTTCGTCTTTGATTCTGTGTTTCTACTGTAATTACAGAATAGATGCATCCCAACCTTTGCTTCCCTGGTACTACATGTTTGTAACGTATACGCTCGCTGTAGTGAAGAAATTGCCTTCAAGAAATGTTTAGTACGCATTATGGACAATAGTGAAATTTTTGAACTTCAGTTTTTTCTATGATATTATTCTTATTCAGTGTTGTAAAATCCATCTTGAATTTGATTAGATGAGTCTTTTTTTCATTTTAGTTTTGAAGTCACTAGTAATATATGAAAGAATAATGTTACTTATATATAAGAAATTATAGGAAGTTTTATTGATTGATGAGGTGTCAAAAAGAAATTGGAGAAGTGTTTTGTTTTTTTTTTGAAGAAATTTTGATCCAATAATATCTCATTACGTGTTTGTAAACCAATGTGTAAGTGATGATGTAGCACAAACATATATAAAATTTTCCATCTTGATCCAATGAGAATGAGGAACAACTAACCTTGGGGGGTTGTTCAATTGATCAGGTTTTGGGTTTGCTCTCCATTGATCACCAGTTCAAGTCCCCTGAGGGCCACTGAGGTGAGTACTCGACCGCAAATTTTAGGGCCCCGTGGGATTAGTCGAGGTGCGCGTAAGCTGGTCCGAACATCCACGGTTGTTTAAAAAAAAAAAAAGAATGAGGAAAAACTAGGGGTGTAAAGTGGGGTGTCAACATGGCACATGTTTTGCAGCCCAAAAAAAGTGAAAATTACACCCATTACGTGGATATATGATAATCTTTTTCAATATTTCTAATTGAAATTGTGCTACGAAATCTTTTCGTGAAGAGGAGGTTGATCAAGAAAATTGTGCTGAAAACTCTTTGGCATTTGTCCCGACTGATTGTCAAAGTAAAACAACAGACCATTGATCCAACAGTTCTTTATGCCACTGTAAAATATGTACTCGATGCTTTAAGGAAGGCTAAAGAACAACTTCGAAAACTTGATGGAGAGTAAACATGATTAAAGTCGGTTAGATTAGTTTTCTTGTGCCTCAACCATACGTTTTGAAGGGTTACTGTGTTTCATATAGAGTAAATGAGTGCTTGTACTGATTAAATATTTCAATTGCACGTGTGACAATTGTATCGGATAAGATTGAGGCATACATTATATAACTAATTTTAGTTTAATTTTGTATATAAATTAACGTACAGCATTTTCTGAATTCTTTTTAATTACTTGGTACTATGCGATTTTTCCCTAAGATTTATTCTTATTAGAGGTCAATGACAAGCTCATCGAGATTCTATTGTATCTAATCTTATTTGACATGCTGACACCTCAAGAAAATTGGCACCAGAAGTTTATAATGTCATCTGACATATTTTTTATAGCCGTAATTGTAAGTGTTTTAGTAGCGGAGTATATTGTAAACGACAATGGACTGATGGCAATTTTGTAGCATTTGGTGTGCATTCCCCAACAGTCCCCACTCTAAATCCGTCCCTTCCTTACATATTCTTTGTAAAACTCTCAATTTTGATATAACAACAACAACAACAACAATAATAATAATAATAATAAAACTTGGCGTCAATTATTTGAATCATTCTTGGTGCACTCTATTTTGTTAGTTGATAGATCTTCTAAAAAAATTAATGCAATTAGATCCTTAGGAGGATTGTAATATGTTGAAAGTAGCATAAATTTTGTCAAATATTATAACATGAATTTTATACAATGATATATTGTCCATGAAAGGTTGCTCAAGAAGGTAAATTCATTGATGATTTCATACATCCTCGTTCAAATAACAATTAAAGTGAAGTAGGGTTCGCAATTAAAAACTTGCTTTTTTTATATTTAATATACCAGACATCAACGTTAAGATTACAAATGTCACATTTCTTCCTTGAAGGCCAGCTCGCATATTGCATTTGGTAATTGGGAAAATTATAGTGTTAGCCTCTTCGCAAGAGTACCAAAAAAGGTTATCATGTCAACCCCTGAGGTCCAAACAGATGGTCAAGCAGTTCATTCTAGTCCACAACCCACTCAACATCTCGTGTAGACCTTTAGTTTTTCTACTAAAATTCTTTTAAATTTTTTAAAATTGAAATAATTCCTCATCTTATCCAATTCATGCCAGTCCACAATCGACCAAGTTACCACCTACCTACTTTTCACCTCTACCAACCATTACACCATTTTGAATGGATGGAATCGGAAAAATATCAGTAAAAAATTGTTAAAGAGTCATAATCATGCAATTACATCGATCGCTACGCTTTTTGTCACCTATAATTTGACATCATTTTCGTTGTCGATATTTGCTTTTGTGTCTTCATAAACAAAAATTACAATAGATCGGGGTCCACATTGATTTGTTTTCACCTTTGCCCCATTTTTCAGAAGTCAATTTAGAGAAGGCGATTCATGTTACAAAATTGCTTTGGTGAGATCGAGTCATGGTAAATAAAGGAAAATATTAAAAAATAAACGTGTTAATAAATTTGTGCCCTTTAATGAGAACAAATGCTCCATATTTACATATTAGAATTAAGACCGTAGGAGTATAGTCATCATTTACAAATATTATTTTCTTTACAAAATTTCCTCTTAAATGACTATTTACACAATAAATCTCTCGTTAAAAATATTGTTCTTGTTAAGCGGAAGATAGATCACTAAGACATTTTTTCCGAGCTCAGTTTCACCAATCAATCGACACCTCAAAAGAAAACAACACAAATCCTCTCAAGTATTCCCACACTTTGGTTGCTTTGTATCACCCACGAATGACACACAAAAAAAGGGTGTAATGGCAGTCACAGGAGCAGCCACTAAGATAAAGAGGAAGAAAAAAAAATGGCAAAAGCTATTCATATAGAGAAGCAGCCGATTTTGGTCGAATGAAAGCCAAGAATCACACCACATGTTAACCCAGTAAGGAGGAAGCATATATATAAGACACATATTATGTAAATGATGGGCTAAGCCCAAAACCAGTAAGTAGATCAATATATATGGGCCGATACTTATTAGCCATCCAAGAGGGTCCCCAACGAATCATGAGCAGCTCTAATTAATTAGGTAACTTCCAATGGCCCAAATAGTTTTAGGGTTGGGTCGTTTCATTAGGTATCGACTTGTTCAGTCATTTGATCAATATCGACTGAATGAGTTTTACCAATTAAATGTCATAGCCCGGAATGTTGTTTGAAAAAAATTTGCCCAACAAATCTCCATCTTGGTCTCAAATTACCTGCAAAGAAAATATTATCACCCATTAATAATAATTCCAAAAAAAAAAAAAAAATTCCTAACCAATAAAATTGGACATTATTTACCTCCACTGATATTTAGAAGATCTTTGCAACTTCTAAATTTCACCACCGGCAGCACCTTAGTGCCCATGTCTGAGGGATTGCATTGTGTGTGTATTTTCTCATAGAAGATCTTTGCAACTTCTAAATTTCACCAATGGCAGCACATTAGTGCTCATATCTAAGGGATTATAGTGTATAGACTTTTTCAAGTCTTACCACTTCTTGTAACACAATATTTCTAATGGAATGTAGTCTAACATCAATGTATTTGATGAGTTCGTGAAAAATAAGATTTTTGCATACATGTATAGAAGATTGACTATCAGAATATACTACCACATAGTTTAAAACATAAAGTAGGACTCTTAGTTGTAAAATCTCTTTAATTGCGTCAATAGAGGCGAGATATTCAGATTCTGTTGTGGACATTGCAATTGCGTTGTAATTGTGATCTCCAACTAACACAGAAGTTAAACAAAGTAAACACATAAAAAGAAGTACATTCTCTATCAGCGTATCCCCACATAGTCCACATCTACAAAACCCTTTAACTTCACGCCTTCTTTATTAGTACCAAACTTTAGATCTATATTCCTAGTCCCCTTTAAATAATTTAACACCCATTTTATGGCTTCCCAGTGCTTAGAACTCAAATTAGACATGTACCTACTAAGAGTACTAACAATAAAGGCTAAATCCGATCTAGTGCAAACCATCAAATACATATAGATCCAATCACATGAGAATATGGAATCCTAATCATGTATTATATTTCTTTTCCATTACTGAGAGACTGGTCTTTAGATAATACAAAATGATTAGCTAAATATAATGTAATAGGTTTGCAATCTGTGTGCCAAATTTTTTCAAAGAAAACAGAATTTGACCTATCTCTTTCAATTTTCATACTTTAGATTCTTTTAACTTTACCTAGATATTTCATGTCAAATTAACCATTCAACTTTGTTTTTATCTTACTTATCCACTTAAGTGATGAACCAACTAAAAACATATTTTCCACAAATAGCAATAAAAAATACATAGTCATTATTAGCATCATCATATTGGAAATATAAGCAATGATCAAGTTTATTCCTTTGAAACCCTATGGTGAGTACGAAAAAATCAAATCTTTTATATCACTGTCTAGGTGATTGTTTAGGCTATATAAAGATATTTTCAAGAAGCAGACATGATCAGGTTTTAGTTTGTCTTTAAAATCTTTTGGTTGATTCATTAAGATTTTCTCATCAAGTTCACCATGTCAAAAAATAGTTTTTACATCAAACTATTCAAGTTCCCAAACAAAATGTGCAACCAATGCAAGATGACCTTAGTAGTGGTGTACTTAACAATTGGTGAAAAAAAATCTCATTATAATCAACCCCCTGCTTCTGTGTCTACCCCTTGGCCTATAACCTAACTTTAAATTTTAAGGATTCAGATGCGCTAGTACCCTCGTTAACCTTTAAAACCCACTTACAATCAATTGTATATTTATTCTTTGATTTAAGTACTAGTTCTCAAGTTTGATTATTTTCTAAAGAACTCATCTCATCTTTCATTGCTTTAAACCACTTTTCAATCGTTCACTCTTCATTGCCTCCTCAAAATTTTTTGGCTCTCTATCAGCTAGCTCATCATAGCTAACATGAGCAAAAGTTAACTCAAACTCATATCCAAATCTTCTAGGTTCTCTTGACTATCTTCTCTCTCTATCCCTAGCTAAGTTATAATATACTAAGGTATTCTCTTCCTCAGGATGCTCTCCTATCACTACTTCCTCTTTATTCTCCACCTTAGGTTATTGAACTCAAGTCTCCACATAACTAGAAATAGCAGGCATGGATGTGTTAAGTTTTCCTAACCCCACCTTCAACTGATCTTTCTCTTTACCTTGTTATTCTTCACTCACATGTTCGGACTCAATATTAAGACATGGCATTTTGCCTTCATTAAATGTAACATCTCTACTCACAACGATTTTAACCCCTTTTTGGCTTCTATCTCATAACATGTAACCTTTGACTTAGGGTAACCTAGAAAAACATATTTTCTAACTCTTGGTTCAAGCTTTCTTTCACTCTGATGGGAAAATGCAGTAGAGCCAAAAATTCTAATCAAAGAATAATCACTTAATTCACGAGACCATTTTTCATGAGGAATATCACCATTCATTGCAGTAGATGGAGTCAAATTAATCAAATAACAAGTAGTTATAACAACTTCTCCCCAAAAAAGACTTTAGGACACTAGAGCTTAGTATCATATAACGCACTTTATCAAGTATGGTCATATTATTCCTTTCATCTACCTCGTTTTGTTGGGAAGTGTAAGGAATAGTCTTATGCCGTATTATTCCATTTTATTTGCACATATTTGTCAAATTCAATTTTACAAAATTCTAGGCCATTATCAGTTCTCAAAAACTTGATCATCTTGTCAGTTTGGTTCTTAACTTGTCTTTTTCAATTATTAAAATGATAGAAAGTATAAGACTTATCCTTTAAAAGATAAACCCACACTTTTATTGTGTAATCATCAATAATAGACAAAAAATACATATTTTCACCTGAGGTGGGACTACTAGCGAGACCCCCACAAGTCTAATTGCATATATTCAAACATGCCTTTAGTTTTATGGACACTCATTGAGAAAGAAGTTCTATGATGCTTACCAAGCGCAGAGTGATTAAAGAAAGATAAATCAGACACACAATCATTACTAAAAGCGCCTTTTTCATTAAAGAGTTTAAACCCTTTAATACTCTCTTGATCTAGTCTATTATGTCATTTATGTGTGTGATCAGCCTTAGTAGAAGAGATAGAAGAATCCAAACCTCTTATCACTTCCCTGATGGTGATATAAATATCATTTTTCCTGATTTTCCTAATAGAAACAAGTGCACCCTTAACCATTTAAAATTACATTTCCAATTTTACCAGTGAAGTCAACTTTATCAAGTCTTCATACTGAGATTAAATTCCTGGATAGTTCAAGAATGTATCTAACATCTTTTATACACAAAACTCGTGTCAAACTTTAAAATAATATTACCAATTTCAACAATAGTATAAGCAGGATTGTCACATAGCACAACATGTCTATCATTTGATTCATGCAGATTTTCAAATCAATCATTTTGCGATGTCAAGTGGAAAAATGCACCAGAATCAAGTATCCACTCATTTAAATAAGAATTGACAGTTAAATTTAATTCATCGGGATAACCTACAGAACTTGTGATCATATAAACCTCACCATCATTAGTATTAGAAATAGAAGACATCACATTTACTTCATCTATTTTCTAACCCTTTAGGTTACTCTTATATTTATAGCATTCTTTTATAAAATGTCTCATGTTTCCACAGCCCCACCATTTCTTAACATTGGTCCTAGATTTTGATCTAGACCTACCATTGCCCTTTTTTTTTTTTTACCTCAATTACTACTTGACGCCACCACTTTGGAAACCATGATGACTATTTTGCCAAAACTAAGTTCTACCCCTCATCATGTGAATCTCACAGCCTTTCTTATCATGTTATTTCAACTCTAATCTCTATTTCCTTATTTCTAAGGGAGTCAATGACAATTTTAGGCATAAAAGTTTTCCTAGCGTACTTATTTGCATTCTTAACTTTCTTATAGGTATTAGGTATGGAATTAAGCAAAATTATATCCTTGAAGGTCTCAGACACTGACTCTTCTCAGTTAACAATATCTTGAAAAAGTTTGTTAAATACGTCTAAATTGTCGTCAAGATTCTTTGAAAGATCCATTTTAAAACTGAAAAATCGCTGAAATACGTAAAGCTTGTTCGGAGTGGATTTAAGCAAATACAAGTCTTCCATTTTTTTCAAAGTTCTTTTGTAGATTCCAATTTACCCATTTTTTAGAACGACGTCAGACAAGTGTAAATTGATTGAAGTATAAGTAAGTTCATCGGCTTCTTCTTTTTATTCTTTTAAAAAATCAACAGAAAAATTGTCGTCAATGACTTTTGAAACCTTTTGCTGGACCAAAATATCTGTCATTTTTGTTACCAGATTAAAAAATCACATTTTCTGTTAAAAATTCTCAAATCAAAATTGTGAGTTGTCATTTTAACAATCAATCAAAAGTGCACAGAATCACAATTAAGCCACACAAAACAAACCTAGGGTCGCAAACAGTATATACCGTTCTAGATTCATAGGATTTTATACGACTCTTGATCTTAGATAAGGGAATGTTCAAAGGGTAAGGTCTAAGTATTTTAATGAATATGACAATTAAACAGTTTCACGCACAATATATCATAAAGATAATAAGTTGATTTTTTTTTTTATCAAATGAACAGTTTAATCAAGTAACAATTAAAGGCAAGTTCCTAATTTCTAGAACATGCAATGGTTACTCCACACGGTAATCCCAATTCTATTGTCACCTCACATGATGATGCGCCGTGCTCGAAATTAAATGAGATAAGCCAACTTACTAGAGGGGATCACGTCTAAAGCTCCGTAAAGTCGATATGCGAAACTATTGCTTTAGGACCGTTATTCGCCGTAAAGTTTCAACAAATGTACCAATGTGATTGACCAGCAATCACAAGCCGAGGGTCCGGGGTAAAACAGTCTAAAATTTGTTGTATAACTTGAAACAAGAAAGTAGCAATATCAAAACGTTCAGCGTGATAAAACAAAAAATTTGGATGAAGATAGTAGCTTCAAAAACGCTGCCACGCGCCATTCGCGAGCCACCGTCATGTACAACCTAGGGGGAACGCCTCAGCCTACTAACTTCGAGTTTGGCCTCTGTTCGTTCGGTTACTAGTTTGGCCGAAAAAGCAGCTTTCAGGTAGATGCGATTTTGAAAAATTCGATTTTACGTAAATTTTAGTTGATTTTGGATCTAGAAAATTTACACCAAGCTCTGATACAAGATGTTAAGTGAAACATAGATCAACAAGTTTTTTTTCCCTGGCTCAGTTTCACCAATCAATCGACACCACAAAAGAAAATAACCTAAATCCTCTCAACTATTCATACACTTTGGTTGCTTTGTATCACCCACGAAGGACACATAAAGGGAATGTACAATGGTAGTCACAAGAGCAGCCACTGGCAAAGAGGAAGAACAAAATTGGCATAAGCTTTTCACACAGAGAAACAACCGATTTTTGTTGAATGAAAGCAAAAAATCACACCATATGTTAACTAAGTGAGGAGATAGCATATATATAAGGCACACATTAGGTATAGTAATGGAATAAGTCCAAGAGGTGGGATAATGGGCCTTAATACTTTATATTTTCCTTACATTAAATTTAAATAAACAAAAAAATTAGAAAAAAAAATAAAAAACAAAAAAGGGGCTTCTCTCCTTCAAACCCCCTAGGCACATTCCCTTTCCCAGCTAATAGCAGCGCCTACACATTGTCGACTAATGGATCATAACCATCACTACATCACAAAAGAGCACCGTAAACCTCCATTACCACCCCCATCAAACCAAAACCGATCACAAAAATCGGGGGCAACAACTGAAATGGTTCTTTGAATGGTTGTGGCAAAAAATTCATCAAACATTCCACAACTGTTGAGGTCCACTCTCGATACCTCTCCATTCTCGAAGACATGGAAATAGAATATAAATCGAGTCCACAAAACTTGGTCGTCAGAATCCAGGAAAAAGGATATGAGAATTAGGGTTAAGAATCAATATCAGGAAGAGAAGATAATTGAGTTTGTGCTAAGCAACAGGCTGGGAGAGAAGGTCCGCGTGAAGTGCAATCAGGACAACACAATCTGGGACTTGAAGAAGCTGGTGGTGGCACAGACCAGGACATGCTCCAACAAGATAAGAATCCAAAAATGGCACACCATTTACAAAGACCTTATTACTCTAAAGGACTATAAGACAGGTTTTACGAAACGGCNCGACCATCGCCTTACCCGTTCGCAGCCGCTCTCATTCTTTCTCGACGATGTTGCACAAGCCGTCTACAGGTAGCCGGAGAAGAAACGGGGAGGGGAGGGGAGGGGGGGGAAGATGAGGAAATGGTGGAAAATACCCGGTTGACCCAGCCACTTTTTCACAATAGCCGTTGACCAAGTAAAAAAAAGGAAAAATTTAAAAAAAAAACTTAAAAGTCCAGCATTTTTCCATTTTTACACTCACACGCGACTTGGAAGAGAGTTGGAATAGAAAAAAAAAAGCATGTTTTCGAATTTTTGTTGATTATCTTCGAAGAAATTGTTGTAAAATCGATTATTAATGGATGAAATGTGATTTTGGTAAGATTTAGGGGTTGGAGATCACCGAAAATAGCGTTTTCCGGCGATCTTCATTGGAGGAGACTTGCCCAGACGATTTCTGGGCTTCTGGGCCGGGACGGGCTGGGTGTCCGGGCTGTCCGGGCCCTACACGGATATCTGGGCAGTGCGGGCCCGGACGACCCGAATGTCCGGGTAGTTTTTCTTCCATCATAGATCTGAAAATCTCATACAAATGAATTGTTTTCTCGTTTTTGTTAAAAAAAAAATCGATTATAAGTCTATTTAATATCATAAAATTTTCATAAACATAAGATTTAAAATTAAAATAATGTACTTAACCGAAACGAAATTAAAAATACGTAAAAATATACTTACTGATTTCACTGATGGCTGTGAATAATATTTCCTTGTTGAGCGTTTGATAAATTTATCTGTTTTGAAGTAGATGAAAAATGAATTTTTTTTTTTTTTGTCTGTGTTGGAGTAAACAGATAACGAAAGTGAATTGGTTTTGAAATTTTAAGTGGGAAATGCTTGAAATTTTTTATAACTTAAATATGGTATTATTGTCTTTTTAACGATACCATTTTTTGTAATTTATATAATATTTTAAGGGTAATTTCGTCTTTTAAGCCTTGGAAGACTATTGTGGTGAATGTCAAAAAATTTTGGACAATGTGGAAAAATGGATGTTTGACTAAGGCATTTTGAAAAGTATCCCGTGTGGGGGGTGGGTTTTGGGGTAGGGTCGGGGTTGTCGCAGATTTTTTATTTTTTATTTTGTTTTATTTTAATTGTTAAAACTTAGGAAAATGCAAAATACAAGAATACCCTTTTTAATTTGGTCCAAGTTGGTCATATTTTGATTTTTCTAGTCAACTAGCGATCAAATGAATGTTTTTTCATTTATTTGGACCCCATATGCATATTTTTTAAAGTGTTGGGACTGTAAGTGGTACAAAGTGAAGATTTGGGTAAAGTCTGCAAAAAATGAAAAGTTAGGGACCGTTGCTGCCATTTTCTCAATTTTCTATTGGATTTTATATTGGAGGCATAAATCAATTTGGATTTTCAATTTGCAAATAGTGAGAGAGGGGGTAGGGAGTGGACATAGGGAAAGATAAATTACAGGGGTAGGTTCTGGGGTTTTCCTTTTTAAAATTTCGAAGGATTTTAATTGAATCATCTACACGGTTTTATTAACTTAAATTAAAAGTTGAGATTTTTTTGTCAAAACCATGTTTCAAAAATATTGGTAGCGGAACGCTTTCCATTATTAAATAATATATATTGGACAGAGAAAAGTGTGAGTTGTAAGAAAGAGAAAGAAAATGTGTAAAGTGTAATAGAGAAAATGTGGGAGACTTGAGAAATAATATTCAAATGATATATATTAGAATATGATATCGTTGATGAAAATATCCTAAATTAGCTAATTTTCCTAAATTTCTTTCATAATATCTAAAGTATATATTAATATTACATCATTTGATTTTTTAAATATCTTTATAAGTTTGTTAGAAGAGAAATTATATACTTAAAGCATTGTATTCAATTTCCAATTTCAAGTGCCCAAATTCAAACAAAACTCAATTTTTTATTTCATACGCTCAAATTTCTATTGTTTTTATTTATTTATTGAAAGGCCTTATAGCCCTGATTATATGATCAGATAATGATTGTTGGAATAAATGATTGTGTACGAACCTAAATTACTCTATACTAGTTTTATGGATAGTAACTCAATGACTGAATTTTTGAAAGTGATTGTATCAATTTTTATTAATTGAAAAATGAAGAGAAGTTTGCAAAATTACATGCAAATTTTGTGAAATCATTGGCCTACTTAAGAAGTTGTTTTTTTTTTTTTTCTTTTTCTTTTTTTTAAGCATTATTTTATACTAAATAATCAACTTTACTTATTAAATCAAGGATATGGGTAAGCCTTTGGTCGGATTTCTTGACCTTTCACAGTGTGTGATAAGTGTTCCCAACCCTCGAAGGTGAACTTTTACATCTCCAATCTATTTATATCTGTAAACATGAGTTTACACATAACCAAAACAGTCAGTGTGGATGATAAAATCGAATAAAACTCTCAATTTAATTTGATAAAAATTTTAATTGGTTTGATGAATTTACCCTACAAATTTATGCCACTCAAAAGTTGAGCAAGATTTTATCATTTATATTGATAGTTGTCAATCATGTGAGGATCCAGATTAATAGATGTAAATAAGTGTTAGATATTTTTCATCATTTTGTATGTGTTATCTTTTGTTTTGCGAGTGTTTTGCCATCCCGACTAGTGTTTGCCGCTATGCAACGGGGATCGACCTGTCCGGTCAGGTCGCGGGGGTCGAGGGGGCGGCACCCCCCTTGGGAGCTCGGGGGCAACGCCCCCGAAAGAGAATTTTATTTTCAGAAGACTTTGAATAGGTATGTTTCTTCCAACAGATGTGTCCATTCATTTCAAGGGATACACCTATTCAAAATGTTGCCTCAATTTCTATATATTCTGGGCGAATTCTCATTTGCAAGACACATAATAAAAAATTCGTTATTTTCTATTCTTCTCTCTTTTCTCTTGGCATCATCAGTTTCGTTATAGAGTGTTTTTTTGGTTTGATCAAATAGTCACAATTTGAATCAAACGCCTCCATTGTATCCTAAGAGAGATTTTCTATCATACCCCGGTCGTGACTTTGTTGGAAAGGGGAGAAACATCTCTTAAAAGATAACGTTTTTCGTCCCTTGGAGTTCATTAGTTTTTTCCAGATTTTATTACATATTTCCGACAATAGATTGGTGGCCGAGATCTAAGAATTCATGGTTAGGAACCCATAATCACATCACGTAAAAGGTTGGCGAGCTCAAATTTAATTTTCCAAACTAATTTTGGTTTACTATTTCCACTTCTAACTTAATTTAAGATCGTATCACTCTCATGAACATAAATTTATGTTTAAAAAACCTCCAACCTAAAAACTCGTCTTTTCTGAATTTTTTTAGTACGACATCATTATAGTTTTATGTTTGGTCATGGTTGCTTGGCAGTGTGTTGAGGCTGAAAGGCACTGCCGTTTACATAAAATAAATAAATAAATAAATATTGAATTACGCGCTAGTCAGGTAAAGTGGGTCGTCCTGCATGCTCATGTTGATTTAAAAAAAAATTATTCGATTTTTGAATAAACTTTAATACGCCTCTAGAAAAATGGAGTTTCAATTATTTTAGTTGGAAGAAGAAAAGAAGACATAATGAATAAGATTCGAAAAGAAAAATCACCATTACACCAAAACTGACTTTAAATAATGTTAATCGAGCAAAATAACAAGTTATAATGATATGTGCACTATGATGTTTGGATTTGGGTACGTGAATCAAGTATGAATACATGTAAGTGTCGGATACTTTATTTTTTAAAATGTAAGATATATGGATATGGTTAAAAAGAGTCCAAATTTCGGACACGGGTACGAGAGTATATTTTTCACACTTCAATTTTGAATTTTCCAAAAATTCACATGTAAAAAATTGAATAATAATTAAGAAATAAATTGTGCAAAGATAGAATATGATGCCGGATAGAATAGCGATTATTTTGCAAGCTGGTAGGTTTCACCAGATAATTAATAGGGAAGAAAACAAGAGAAAACATCAAGAAAACAAGAAAATTCTTTATTATTTATCCAACAGGTGAAAATAGCCTACAAGTTGGGTTAAATAGTTAGAAAATCGTAATTATCCAAATTTTACAAAAAATAACAAAATTACAATAATCATGCCAAAAGAAAGTACGTAATAAAAGAAATAATATTCCAAAAATTTGGCTCAAATCAAGTTCATAATCATGTTAAAGTAAACAAAATATTACCAAAAAGGGGAAAAATAACTAAAATTGAGGATTCAAAATGGAAAACAGTGAATTTTGTCCTCGAAATCTACTTAGTTTGTGTTGACCATTGATGTACTTCAATGCCTTATGATCAGTGATAAGAATGAACTCCCTTTGTATTAGGTAATGATGCCAATACTTCAAGGACTGAACAATGACATAAAACTCGAGATCGTAGGTGGAATAATTCTTCTTTGATCCTGATAGCTTCTCACTGAAAAAGGCTATTGGGTGCCCCCCTTGACTCAGAACACCACCAATGCCAATTCCAAATGCATCACAATTTACCTCAAACACCTTTTCAAAATCTGGAAGTGCCAAAACTGGGGCCTTTGACATCCTTTGCTTGACCAACTGAAAACTGGCATCTGCTTCCTCGGACCACTGGAAACAACGTCCCTTGAGGTATTCTGTGATTGGGGCAATCATAGTGCTAAAGTTTCTAATGAACCGATGGTAGAAGGAAGCCAATCCATGGAAGCTTCTGCCATCGTGCAAGGTCTATGACCTGGGCCATTCCAAGATTGCATCTATTTTTGATTGATCTGCATGAACACCATTAGTAGATATAATAACTAAGAAATGTGATCGAAGTGGTGAAGAAAGAACACTTCTTCTGATTAATGAATAGGCGCTCCGTTCTCAGCATATCAAAACAACATGGAGGTGATCAAAGTGTGATGCTCATGTCGGACTATAAATGAGGATGTCATCAAAGTAGACCACTACAAACTTCCCCATGAAAGGCCGTAAAACCCGATGCATAAATCGCATAAAGGTGTTGGGTGTATTGGATAGTCCAAAAGGCATGATCATCCACTCAAGCAACCCATGTTGCGTCTTAAACGCCGTCTTCCACTCATCTCCATACCTTATCCTAATTTGGTAATATCCGCTTTTAAGGTCAATTTTTGAGAAGACCTTAGAATCGGACATCTGATCTAACATATCATCCAGGCGGGGAATTGGAAACCTGCACTTCACTGTAATCTTGTTGATTGCTCTGCTATCAACATGCATACGCCGAACCCATCCTTCTTCGGCATCAGTAGAGCAAGAACTGCACATCGGCTCATACTCTCGTGGATATAGCCTCTCTCCAACAACTCTACCACTTGTCGCTGTAACTCTTCAACTTCATTGGAACTGAGATGATACACATGTCAATTAGGCAAACTCGACCACGGAACAGGGTCGATCTGATGTTGAATATCCCTCACAAGCGGCAACACCAGAGGGAGATCCTCTGGCATAAGGTCAGAGAACTCTGTCTGCACCGAAAAGAACTTTCCGAATTGGGGTCATGAACATGATTGTGATAACCGTAGCCAAAGTTATAACCAAAATACCAAAATGAGTCAAAAAACATCCCTAATTAGGAAAGATCGTCGACTACTTGCCATTTTTGCGCTGATCCACCAAGTCATGGTATCTCAACGCTATCAACGAGCTATCGGACAACTCGGCATCATCTGACTCGGATCCTTCATCATCAGAATATATCACTTAAAACCAACTAGAAAATTGTACTGAAAGTCTGAAGCACCAAAAAAACATAAATTTACATGATAAAAGCACAAAATTAAAAGTTAGAAATGATATAATTAATTACAATTGTTATACCCACTTGAAAATTGAAGGATCCGNAAAACCCGATGCATAAATCGCATAAAGGTGTTGGGTGTATTGGATAGTCCAAAAGGCATGATCATCCACTCAAGCAACCCATGTTGCGTCTTAAACGCCGTCTTCCACTCATCTCCATACCTTATCCTAATTTGGTAATATCCGCTTTTAAGGTCAATTTTTGAGAAGACCTTAGAATCGGACATCTGATCTAACATATCATCCAGGCGGGGAATTGGAAACCTGCACTTCACTGTAATCTTGTTGATTGCTCTGCTATCAACATGCATACGCCGAACCCATCCTTCTTCGGCATCAGTAGAGCAAGAACTGCACATCGGCTCATACTCTCGTGGATATAGCCTCTCTCCAACAACTCTACCACTTGTCGCTGTAACTCTTCAACTTCATTGGAACTGAGATGATACACATGTCAATTAGGCAAACTCGACCACGGAACAGGGTCGATCTGATGTTGAATATCCCTCACAAGCGGCAACACCAGAGGGAGATCCTCTGGCATAAGGTCAGAGAACTCTGTCTGCACCGAAAAGAACTTTCCGAATTGGGGTCATGAGCATGATTGTGATAACCGTAGCCAAAGTTATAACCAAAATACCAAAATGAGTCAAAAAACATCCCTAATTAGGAAAGATCGTCGACTACTTGCCATTTTTGCGCTGATCTACCAAGTCATGGTATCTCAACGCTATCAACGAGCTATCGGACAACTCGGCATCATCTGACTCGGATCCTTCATCATCATAATATATCACTTAAAACCAACTAGAAAATTGTACTGAAAGTCTGAAGCACCAAAAAAACATAAATTTACATGATAAAAGCACAAAATTAAAAGTTAGAAATGATATAATTAATTACAATTGTTATACCCACTTGAAAATTGAAGGATCCGCATCTAATTTCATACATATACTCATGTCGTGTTGTGCTGAAACGGATGAGCCGGTCGGAATGCCAAATCTGAGCATCATAGCCTGTGCGAAGATAAAAACACAAGGTTAAAATTAACCGTTCTCGTCAATCTTGACAACGATGTCAACTTGTCTTGAGTATACTATACTCACAACATCCTCGACAACATCCAGTTGATGTAGGGCCTGTACACGTAGTAGTTACAGCAGCTAGCTAACTCGGTTTATCTCTACTTCGAGAATAAAAGGAAGATGCTCGGAATATGCTCTCCAAGGCTTGCCCTTCGAGCTATCGGGCCAAAATGGCTAACCACCTCACAACTTGCATGCGCGCACAAACTGAGACACATACAGACAAGACATGTATGTAAGGACGAGTACTAGGAAACAATCCTATTAATGATACTAATTCAATGACTTCATCTCCCAACGCTCCCTCAAACAGTATCTACATAACTAATATAACATCATCATTCATCTCCCACAAACTCTCCTTTAAATAAAGAAAACTGAAAACCTTCTCTAAAATCCCATTTCACCATGGTTTTAAGTACAGCCTCTTCAATTCTCTCTCAATCTCAACAACAACAACTCGTTCAAGAACTTGAAATCTTCAAGATTCAAGGCAGAGATAAACAAGGACATGCCATACTTCGCATCATAGGAAACCTTTTCCCTGGTAATTCACGCTTATTTTAGCTCTAAAAGTTTAGCATTTTGTGTGATGAGGCCACAATTTTGTGTCTTTAATGAATTCGATGGTATGGTAAGAAAGAAAATAATCTATTTCTTTCTTACCATACTATCCATCTCTAAGTATTGTACTCTAAAATCAACATAGAGGTTCCTCTTTCCAAAAGAAATATAAAAACAGAATCACAGTCCTCTTTGATCGTCCTTACTAAACTATCACTTTGCTACTATATCAATACAAACAATTTTCACCACTTTCCACTCAATTTTCTTTCTCCTCGAACAGGTTCTTGACGTTCTCTTCATATTACTAATATGTACCTTTTTTTGTTGCCATTTATATTAGCGAGGATTGTGAATCTGAAGGCACTGAAGAAATACTTGGAAGATGAAATTTTTCCAAGCTTAAGTGAGAGGCCATTCTCAGTGGTGTATGTGCACACAGGGGTAGATGGAAGTGAGAACTCACCTGGAATATCAGGTTTAAGATCAATCTACAAGGCCATTCCAATCAATATCAGAGAAAATCTGAAGGCAGTTTATTTCCTGCACCCTGGCTTTCAGTCCCGACTCTTCCTTGCCACCTTTGGACGTCTCCTTTTCCCAGGATGGTAATTGACAATTAAACACTCTTTTATGTCATTCGCATTGAAGCATCCTCCATAACAAAATAATCTGTCGATACCTATGGAAATTTTCTGACTGAAACATTGTCTCGATTTCAGTCAGACTTGCTGTCGCTCCTGAAAGGCTTGCGACGAAATAGTCTCAAAATGGAAATGAAATTGGTGCTTTCAAAAAAATTAATTTTCTAATCTATTTTTCAATGGAAATGTTCCATCTCAGAATTTCTGTTACATCAATAATTTAAAAAAAAAAAAAAAGGAAAGCCCTTCGATTGCAAAAGATTCGAAAGGCTATCAGATTATCCAGAAGTCAGTATAGCAAGTTGAAATGCAATGATCTCTTTAAAAGAAAATGCCTAGTAGAAAACTACTTTTCCCTGCACAAGACTCAAAACATTGAGATTCAGCATGTGTTTAGGTAAAATTATTAGTAACGTATAAGGAGTAGTGGATTGGAGGGTCCCACGAAATGTGTAGATAATAAATGACCAGTTGTTGTGAATGTGTGGTTAAAATCAAAGTTTGACTTTAATTGAAAATAATAAGTAACTAATACGTTTACCCAAACATAGGCTCAATATGGTTTATTAGACTAGGGGTGTAGG